CAGAAATCTACCGGAGTAATCGCCGTAGGGGCTGGTTACCGACGTAGTAGTTGAAGTTATAGAAATCTATCTTAAAAATATCCTTTAACCTGACGGTTAGTCTCCTTGTTTTCCTTCTAAAAAATGTCCCCAACCTTGATGATAGTCTCCCAATTTGTTTTTGTTCAAATAACATCATCCTAACTGCAATTTTTATTATTCTGATTTAATTTTCCTTCTGAAAGTATTCTCATAAGCTTAATGGTTAGTCCCGTGGCTTTCCTTCTCTATAAAAAAAAACAATAAAATTAAACAAAAAACAAAACAAAAACAAACTAGAGAGAAGTGTTTGTAAACAAGTACAAACAAAGAGCTGTTTTGGGACTGTTACACCCACAAAATAAGTATTGGAAATTGTGATGAAAAAACCTCAAACTATGAGAGAGTAAAAATGAGCAATTTAGTATTCTGGACGTGACATATACCCCCGAAAAAGTTTCATTTATAATCAGTTTCAACCAATGCAATTGGATGTCCACTTTAGAAGCTAATCTAATATGACTTGTCACGTGATATTATTCTCACAGTTGAGAGTTTGCTTTGTACTTTGTGTAGCTTCTCACAATAGCTTAAAAATTATAATACTTACTTAAAGTAACATATATGACTTCTTCGACTGTTGATGTCATCACGAGTGGATGTGATACCAGGTACAAGAATTGTGATTCTTTAATGTCACGTGACTTGTCATCAGATGAGATCAGAATCAAATCAGATCAATTTGGGTCTAAAACCCTTCCATTTCCAGCCACACACAAAGTTTCAACCGCATCGGACCTGTACTTTTCGAGGTATAGTGGTTTGGAGAGATCCCCTTTAGTGTCACGTGACTTGTCTCCTGATGACATCATCATCATTAAATATGCTCAATATTTGCCTAAAGCACTACCTCTCCAGGATATAAGCAGGGTTTCAACCTTGCACTAACACCGACAGACTTATTCCGTAAAAAAACTTAATGGCTTTTACCACTTTTAAACAATAAGCCTACTTCTGGTTTCAACCACATATTATATATCCTAGCACTTGCTGGAAAAACCAAATGTTGCGGGAGGCCACGATTGATTTTATATGAGTTTTTATTCAAAATTTGATAATAAATCACGTGATGATGTCATCATGACATAAATATTTTAGAATTATCTTCGTTGAATAGTTAGTGCTTGCTGTAAGTTTGACGATGATCAACGATTACTAAGGTACGAAAATAGTGCCTCGAAAATGTATACAAAGTCAATGGGCTGAAATGAATATCAACAAATCACTCATAAATCACATGATGACGTCATCACGACGTCATGAATCTGGACGTATCTTTGCATCAAGGTCTTTGTTGGCTGTAACTTTGAAGTTGATCAAAGCTCTCAAACTAACCCACATGCTGGCTTGAAAACGTATACAACGGCAATGGGCTGAAATAAATATTGAAAAATCAAGAATAAATGACATGATGACGTCATCATCCATCTGCAATAGTGCCCTCAAAAACTAATAAACTACTCAAGTTCTCACTATGAATTTCTTCTAGGACCATCCTTGGATGATGGTTCAAAGGTCTGCCAAGTATGAAGTCGATCAGATTTAGTAAACTGCCAAAGTCGACTGGTAGAAGGAATTGAGTTGAAAAGGAAAAAAAAAGAAAACTAGAGAGAAGTGTTTGTAAACAAGTACAAACACAGAGCTGTTTCGGGACTGTTTTACCCTCAAGATAAGTATTGTTGATCAAAGCTCTCAAACTAACCCAAATGCTGGCTTGAAAACGTGTACAAAGTCAAGGGGCTGAAATAAATATTGAAAAAACAAGAGTAAATCACATGACAACGTCATATTGACGTCATTTATTTACAATAATTTCTGTATCAAGATCTTTGTTGGCTGTCACTTTGAAAACGATCAAACATCCGAAAGGGTTCAAAATTGTGCCTTGGAAACGTGTACAAAGTTAATGGGCAAAAAATCCCATTTGGAGAAACACTGCTCTTTTAAGTTCGTGTCAAGTGATTTGCACTTAAACTGAATAATTTTATGAAATATTACTTCATATTCGGACTCTTAGGCATATTACAAATAAAACAACAGAGCGTAAAGTACCCCGATTTCCCCTTTGTTCTTATAGTAATTTGCGCCGAAGTTAAAGACTACTTGTTCACTTGAGTTAAGTAGAAAAACGTGTACAAAACATATGGGCAAATATAAAATATTGAAAAATGAATATAAAATAAGGCAATGATGTCATCGTGACGTCATCCCTTTGAAATAAATCGTGCATCCGGGTCTTTGTTGGCTATTACTTTGGGAACGATCAAACACTGCAAAGTTACAGAAATTGTCGCTGAAAAACATGTACAAAGTCAATGGGCTATAAACTTGTTTGCAGAAACACTGCTTCTTTAAGTTCGTGTCACATGATTGGCGCTTAAACTGAACAATTTTTATGAAATATTACTTCATATTCGGACTCTTAGGCATATTACAAATAAAACAACACGGCGTAAAGTACCCGATTTCTCTTTCGTTCTGATAGTAATCTTGCGCCAAAGTTAAAGACTACTTGTTCACTTGAGTTAAGTAGAAAAACGTGTACAAAACCTATGGGGAGAAATTAAATATTCAAAAATGAATATAAAATAAGGTGATGATGTCATCGTGACGTCATCCCTTTGCAATAAATCTTGCATTGGCATCTTCATAACATCAAGTTACAGAAATTGTTGCTCCAAAATGTGTACAAAGTCAATGGGCTATAAACTTGTTTGCAGAAACACTGTTTCTTTAAGTTCATGTCACGTGATTGGCGCTTAAACTGAACAATTTTTATGAAATATTAAACTGAACAATTTTTATGAAATATTACCTCATATTCGGACTCTTAGGCATATTTCAAATAAAATAACAGAGTGTAAAGTACCTGATTTCCCCTTTGTTCTGATAGTAATCTTGCGCCAAAGTTAAAGACTACTTGTTCACTTGTGTTAAGTAGAAAAACGTGTACAAAACCTATGGGCAAATATTAAATATTCAAAAATAGATATAAAATAAGGTGATGATGTCATTATGACGTCATCCCTTTGCAATAAATCTTGCATCGGGGTCTTTGTTGCCTATCACTTTTGGGAACGATC